GGCCGGATTTGAGCCCAGGTTTGCCACGTTGAGGACCAACACCTAAATACCAAATCATCCATAGCCACTCTGCCCCAATCCATTCCAGACCACCCGGCAAAGCAAACCCTACAGCCTCTGTGGTTTCTCCCCTCTTGGTTCGCTCCGACTACCCTGGAGCTCATATGTAATTCATAGGAGCAAAACGTGGTAATGAATGCTTGATATGGCATCATTAAAAATCACCATCAGCATCAATCACATGTTTCTGCCCAAACATTTTCTTTTCCTTGTGGGTCTTTGTAATAAGGATAATTAGGATCATACAAAATTGGTTTGTTCTCTACTTCCAAACTCTGCATCTCTTCATCCATGCCTGCAATAAGAAGAGTCTTTAGAAGTTGTGAGACGCGCTCTTGGAAGTTGTTGTAACTGAATTGTTGAAAGCCTCTCATAAAATAAATATTTTGATCGAGTTAAGAAATTTGCTTCCTGGTGTGTTGAAGTACCAATAGTTTGCATTCAATAATTTAATTAAGTGGTCTTAGTTTTGGGGAATTATGCTGGTGAAGATTCTCCGTCAAACAGGTCATAGTCATTCCAAAAAAAGTTAAAAATCAATCCACTGGACTTTGTTTCCAAGTTTGAACACATTTCGCTTCCCATCCAGGAAGCTTTTTCAATTCAAAATGTCAGAACAGGTGCGCCCCTTAGGCTGGGGAGCAGTTTCGGTTCTTTGTTAGCCTGCAATACCCGATACTGTTCTATGCCTCTGAAAGGGGGGTCGTTAAGGGTAATTGTTGCCCTCGCTGCCCAGGCGAAATGTTTTGTCCCCTGCATAGGGGTTGGGGGTTGAAGGAATAAACTCTATCACAGCATTGTAGGTTTTTGAGAGTTAAAACCTGAGTCCACCCCCCTCTGTTTAAGAAAGATTTTCCTTTCCTAACATAAGTGGCTTCCTTCACACCCGTGTCAAACAACCTGTCTTACTTGTCCAAAATTTGAACATTCTGGTCCTAAAATAAGAGTCCCTTGTCCTTAAGGTGCAAATGGACAGCAAGGTCTTGTCCCATATTTTTGTGATTGTGATCACAAACTGGTTTTCCAGATGACCAGCTGCTCAGTCAGATCAAACTTTCAATATTTGTGACTCATAAAACCTTTTCATGCCTGTGCAATTTTTTATACTCTAAATAACAGCATAATAGAACCAAATACTAAAAGTACTACAAACACTATGACGAGGCTAAGAATCCCAAAACTAAGATCAACAAAAAAAAAAATGCAATGGAAAAACTGCAAAAGATGCTGCAACAAGAGAAAACAGAGAGAAACATGGTGAAAATAACTTCTTCTTGATCTTATTTAATATTTTAATCTTAAATGTTGCAATTTTAATAGCTACAAGCATACAACCATTCTAATTAACAGAAAGAGGTGTTTGGGTTCATGTCATTGCAGATTAGACATACTTGGCATTTAAAGCTAAAGCTGTGGTTCTCACTAGAAAAATCGTAATTCAATTTGTTTCCATGACCTTATATCTATTTAATGTTGGTTGCTGTTTGGTGATAGAGAGGCACTGAGGACAG